AGTATGGGTGCCAGCAGAAGAGGTAGAAAACCACCGCTCTGAACGATAAGGTGTTTTCTAGATTTGACTGCTGAACCCGGTCTGGATAAACGTCTCAGCAGCGATGCGTGTTTTCGTAAGCGACGTTTCTGAATAGGTTTGAGAGGTACGTTGCCGCGAAGAATATTCAGAGCGCATTCGCATTAGTACCCCTCCTGCCACTCTGCATCGTAAAAGAGAACGCGCGCGAAGCGCACGTCACTCATATCCTCGATGAAGCGTAGGAATTTCTTTACGAAAAACGTCTTCCCGCACCCCGTTGGCCCGCAAACCATCGATGTCCACGGATGTTTCCACCGTGTGTCCATTATGCCAAATGAGGTTATTTGGCGGCGCTCTTTACGAATATACTGTTAAAGAGTCTGCTGAATTTCACACACTCCCCCTTCCATCGCGGGGCCGGGCCGCGGCAGGCGCGCGACGCGCGTGCGGCTCGCAACGTCGCGCGCGCTTGCTAGCTCTTATCGGTGACGTTGCTAGCCACCCGGGAGCGGGTGAGCTCATCGTGCACCTGCAGGCTAATAGCCTGCATGTATGTGTGTCCGCCACATAGCTAGCCATAGCGCACGGCTAGCATATCCGGAGCGTCGCTGAAAAAATAAATAACATGACCGGGTCGGTGGACCCTTCGGGAGCAGACCGATAAAGAGATTTTTGTTTTTCAAATAAATACGTTTATTAGAAAAATAAATAACATGGCCGGGCTGGTGGAGCCTTATGGAACAAATCAATAAAGAGATTTTTTTTCAAATAAATATGTTTCATTATTATTATTATTGTTATTGTACAGGGGTGGTCATATATACATTTATACAGGTTCTGTTTGTACTATCGATTACATGAAACCGTATGGCAAAGAGCCGAAACGACCGTCGCGTCGCCATTTTTGAAGCTCTGTTGGTTCACACGGTTTTGCTTCTACACGTGTCACTACGTCGTGAAACGGAGTACGCAGAATCGCGTCATAGCTTAAAACGACAGGCTCGCCGGTCTCTCCCGTTACATAAGACCGTATCCAGTTGTAGTTAATGACTAGATTCGTCGCGTGGTTCATCGTGATACCTTTGACCTTACAGACCTCGGCGTAAGAACCGTCTGGCTTGCGCACACGGTACGTGTAAAATTTCGGGCCTCCCGAAACAAAAGACGTGATATAGCTACCAGCGCCGTACGACTCCAGCTCGTCCGTTAAATCGCCCAAAAGGCTACCGAGCGGCGGCTCGTAGGTGTTATTGGCGTGACGGCCACCCGATACGTATATACACGAGTCGGTGTCGTAATATAGAACGCGTCTATCTAATGCCTCGAGGTAGTCGTACAATTTCAGACGCGCCTGAGCCGTGGTATACGCAGCTATAACAACGTTTGTGTATGCTGTGGGTATCAGCGAGTCGTTCGTATTACGCGTACTGACATAGAGCATCTCGTCATCTACGGGCAGAATACCTGTAATCTCGACCTCCGGACACGCAAGCAGACTCACGAGCTTTTGACGAGTCGTTACAATTTCCGTCTTTGGCAGATTTTCGCGTTGCCCAAACTTGCCCCAAAAGGAATTCAAACATAACTTTGCGACTGACCGCAGACCGGGATTTGATTTTATATTACCAGGGTCCAGAC